ACTACTTCCTTCACCACTTCCTACGTCGTGGACCTCTTTCCATCCCTTCCCATAGGATTTTGGGATTGCAGATTCCTTAATCTAATCGTCATAAACAGTTTCCACACTTTAGACTGCTCGCCTTTACAACTTCCTTCACCACTTCTTACGTCGCGGACCTGATTCCCCCCCTTCCCATAGCATTTTAGGATTGTAGATAACTTGATCTAATCGTTATTAACAATTCCCACACTCCGGACTGCTCACCCTTACTACTTCCTCCACCACTCCCTATGTCGTAGACCTGTTTGCCCTCCTTCCTTAAATACTATTTTAGAATTGCAGATACATAAATGCCACAGACGGTTCCCACACTCTGCACTGCTAGCCTTACAACTTCCTTCCCATTTCCTACGTCATGGACCTGTTTTCCACCCTTCCCGTTACATTTTAGGATTGCAGATACCTTAATTTAATCATTATAAACAGTTCCCACACTCCAGACTGCTCGCCTTTACTACTTCCTTCACCACGTCCTATGTCGTGGACCTGTTTTCTTCCCTTTTAATAGCATTTAAGGATTGCAGATACCGTAATCTAATCGTCATAAACAGATCCCACACTCCACACTGCTACCCTTGACTATAGAATCGAGTAATCTTCAGCATAATCTTTGCTCAATAGTAACAACTGATGTTTTTCCTTTTGTACTGTATTTTGTTTTGCTAGTATACTGTGGATAGACAAATTACAAGTCTTTTGTTTACTTTTTCCTTGTTATTTAATTCAGCCAACATGGTTACCTATCTACCCATAAGACTAATGTTAAAAAAATGTGATTTTCAGTTTCATTTTTCTGCCTAATTAGATTTTTGTTGCCAGTTCTAATTGCAGTCAACTCGTTTTTAGGCCAGAAATAAACTATATACAGTATTTGAAGAAAATCGTCGGAGCCGTTTTCGAGATCTTGGTGCAAGCATACATACATACATACATATATACAAGCAAACTTTGCTCGTATTATAGTATAGGATATCTGTGGAATAATGCTATCAGCTATTTATGTATTTACTGCATTCAAAAGTCAACAGCTGATCATATGTCTTTATGTGTCAAATACTGCTTCCATAAGGATTACATTGAAACTTTGAGACCCAGTGGGGCGGATTCCTGAGAGACTTTTTTAACGCCATATAGATGTTGGCACTCACCGATATGGTCTTTATCACCATGCAAAATTTGAAAACGATTGATTCAGCCGTTTAGGAGGAGTTTGCGTATTACGAAATGCATAAAAGTCGACGTATAAGAGCTTCGTTTGCCCTCAATTAATTAATAGGTCATTGGAAAGCCTAATTTGTGTAGATTTGCAAATAATTATGAAAGTGTGGATTCTTCAAGATTTAGAGGTGAAACCTGTCAAAGCCTGACAGTTGCTGTTGAGGGTGCAAGCGAGACCGTTTGACTATAAATCGATGATAAATTACTCCATTTTTTTAAAATTTGGGTTCGTGATTTAGCAGTGTGCTTTAGGTACGTACGATCTTAATAATCAATAATTCAAATGGAAGCTGGCATTTCACTGAAGGTTCTTAGGGCAAAAGTAATAAAATAACGTAATTAGAATTGAGTAAATATATCTAAAAATAAATTCCATATCCAAGATATAATTAAATTTATGTTTTCTGATTGAGCGATACAGTATATCTTTAACTTTAATGATTGAAATTATCAATATCTCTAGTGAAAGCCTTTGAAGTATTTTAAGACCAAGACATATAAAATAACTTAAAATAAAATTTGAGTTACATACCATTTATTGCAGATAAGTACTAAAACAATTATAATTATTGTTGATTCGTGATTCAGCAGTGTGCTTTAGGTAGGTTCATTAAGATCGGAATCTTAATAATCAATAGATCAAATGAAAGCTGGTATTTCACTAAAGGTTTTTAGACCAAAACATATAGGATAGTGTAGAAGGGGGGAATTGGGTACTAGGTTTTGTAAAATGTACTTTGTATGCTAAAACAAATTGAATCACTTTACAACTTTTACGCCTTCATTTAAAGGCTTCCAATAGACATCTTTTCACTTATTTTCAGACCTGCAAGTGGTTTTGTTCTATTAAAAATATATATATATATATTTCATACCCAATTACCCCAAAGGGGGGAATTGGGTACTACACCTATTATACATTAAAATGACCTATTAAAAATTCTGGGAAAATGGGTGTTATTGAGAAAACACAAATAAGCATTTTAAGACAAGTTTTAGTCTCTTATCATTATTTTTGACAATTTTATAGAGCGTTAAAGTTAATTTTTGAAAACTTTACAGTTTTTCAAAGATATTTCTTTGTAATAAATCCTTATAACCTAGGGTTGTAAAAATTGTATTAATTGTAGCTTCTTAGACATACTTAAACATAAAACAAGTTAGATTATTCTAACTTATTACAAAAAAAAGTTATAAGAAGACAAAACTTTGAAAAAGTTTTATGGTCTTCTGCCTCTAAGCCGATGTGACGGGGCAATTGGGTACTAAGCCATAATTTCTTTAATATTCAATGCACAGAAGTCATACCAACCTAAAGCAATTCTTAACTACCCCCTAAAAGCATATTCTAACTAAAAAAAAACAGATTTATTGTTATCAGGCAAAAAAAATCTAGTACCCATTTTCCCATGAGGGGGCAATTGGGTACTAACATTTTCAACCCCTAAAAAATACACTTAAAAGTCAATTTAAAAATTCCTAAACTTCAGAAAATTACTATTAGTATGTATACTTTGCTCTTATGAGATAAAAGTAAATATTTTGCAGTAACTGAAATTTTTATAGTGTTTCCAAGGTTACTCGGGCCAAGTTTGATAGGCACTTTAAAAATTGAAAAACGTAAGGGGTGAACAAACTATTTTTTAACTCGTTTCAATTTCAAGATAACAACCTAAAATAAATTTGAGGTTTATAAAACATAACTAGCTATCACTACAGATTTTTTAATTCTTTCTAATAAAAGGCATGTATTTAAAAAAAAATTCAAAAAAGTTCATACCCAATTACCCCTAATACCCAATTCCCCCCTTCTACCCTAATGTAGTTTAAATTAGATCTGCTGGAATAGGCCTACATCTTTAATTGAAGTAAAAATAAAAAATAAAGAAATTTATATTTTTTCGTTGAGTAATGCAATAGATAAATTAATAACGATGCTTGATGACAAATATGTGCTTGCATAGCTTCATTTTAAGACCAAAATTATGAAAATCGGTCGGGTAGAAGTTTATCCCGACTCGGAAAAGAAGAACCAATAATTTTACAGATGGCAATAATTGGTTTACCAGTATGCATAATCGAAACATATGAAACATGTGCTATTAATTTAACAGCTTATTGTTATCTAATTTATTTTTGTTTGATTAAATGTTGTTGTTAACAATTTGCATTTGTGTTTAAAGTGAGTTCCTTATGTTGAGTATGCAATTCTAATGTTATGTGCTTAATCTGTAGCATTAATATTGTGGTGTATGGATTTCACAACCATTATTTTACTAGAGACCGTTGTATTTAACCACAACGGGCTCTGTTGCTGGTATATAAATAAATTAAATTATAGTAGTAAATAAAGTACAACTGAGCACCCTGAATATTTTATTTTAAGTAGAAGTTACATGTTTCCGACATAAGTCCATTTTCAAACTTAAAATAACATCAAATACTTAACTTTAAATATTTACAGTTAAGTATTTAATATTATTAGAAGTTTCAGAATGGACTTATGTCCAAAACATGTAACTTCTACCTACTGAAAATATAATATTCAGGGTGCTCAGTTGTACCTACTTTAGTTACTACTATAATTTAATATATCAGCAGCCCTATAACGTGAAAACCTAAATAAAAAATATATATATAAATAAATAATATATACAGGGTGTTTTTTTTTAAACTTGCATCTTTATTTATGTAAAAACCGCAATAGATAGAAATATGCAGTTTGCGGGAATCATCTATTGAGGTGGGGGGCCCAATTGTTTTGGATTCAACGTTACATTTACATTCCCCCCTCTCCCCCCCTGTCCGCAACTAAATTTTTTTAAACAGCAAGGTACCCTTTGTGACATATCAAATGAAAGAGCATGAAAAAAGAAAATGTTTGGTTAAAAAAAATTGAAAATCGGCTCATGAATTTGTGAGATAATCATATGTCACATGATTGTGACATCATATGTCACAAGGGGTACCTTGTGGGGGGGATTATCTCACAAATACCTTAAAAAAAATAAGTTCCGGGGAGGGGGGGAATATCTCACAAATTTATGAGCTAATTTTAACATTTTTTTCACTATACATTTTATTTTTTCATGCTCTTTCATTTGATATATCACAAGGGGTACCTTACTATTAAAAAAAAATAAGTTGGGGGAAAGGGGGGGAATGTGAATGTAACGTTAATTCAAAACATTTGGGCCCCCTACGTCAATAGATGATTCCCGCAGACTGCATATTTCTATCTATTGCGATTTTTACATAAAGATGCAAGTTTAAAAAAAACACCCTGTATATACTAAATTATTGTAGTAAATAAGTACAACTGAGCACCCTGAATATTATATTTTTAATAGAAGTGACATGTTTTGGACATAAGTCCATTTTCAAACTTCAAATACATTCTATAATACATATATATGAATCATATATATGGATCTGGATGGTGTTTGTGGCCTCTAGGGACCTCAAAACAAAAAAGTAAATCGGTCATGGATCCAGGTACCATGAGTACTAAGGCAATAGCTTATTCCCTATATGGGAAATTTACTAAAGAAAACACAACATTATCAATTTATTGTTAGCTGATACAAACTGTACGGCAATGGCATGTCATATGGCAGTATGGAACTGGCACATGCATGAGCATGTTTTGGAAATTTCTAAAAAAATGTTAACCCTTTTCTAAATAGCTATAATAAAAAATAAAACTTAAATAAGCATTTTGGTGTGCATGATAAAACAAGTAGTGTAAAAAACACATTTTAATGCTAGTTATAAAAACAAATAACATACTATATATACAGACAGTACTGTATTAACAAAGGAATGTTCAACATTACAACATTATACAGTATACAAATTACATAAAAATAATAAGTAGTTCAGAGTTGGTACAAATAATTCATAAGTGGAATTATTCTTGAAGGTTCTATAGTTTCTCTGCAAATCGGACACTGATTTTGTGTCTGTAGCCACTCGAGTATGCAGTGCCAACAAAACAAATGTCCGCATGGTGTGGCACTTACACCTTTCCTGTTTTCTAAACAAAGCGGGCATTTACTACCAGGGGCATATGATGTAGTGAGATCTTTATCTGACGAATGAGCTGATTTGTGAGAGGTTAGCCATCTCCAAACAACATGGGTAGCTACTGCAGCCATATGCAATGATGTAACAATGCCCAACAGCCTGAAGCCATACATAGATTCATAGTCTTTCAGCCATCTTCTAACGAGAACCTGCAAATAGGTTCGATTTTGTAATCTTAGATATAACCTTTGAAATGCCATTTCAAACATATTACAGTAAAACCTCTTTAATCCAAACTAATTGGGACCGGGGGTAGTTCGGACTAGTGAATAGTTCGGATTACAGAACATATTGTTGTTTTTATATAACAATAGCTAGGGAAAAGTGAAAAATGCTTTATAAAGTAAAATACAGTGCTTATTTAATACAGTAGTAAACACAGGGAATAAACAGTACTGTACATTACAATAGAAATAATTACGGTGTGTATATCAATAAATACAGTGTACAATAAAGAACTACTGTTCTGTATATAGAGTACAGCAATGAGGCGTTCGGATTAGTGGACGTTCGGATTACAGGGGTTCGGATTACAGGGGTTCGGATTAAAGAGGTTCTACTGTATTAAGAATGTGTAATGTACAACACTCAATTTAAAAAATCTAACCTACGAGTCTTGAAAACAAAACCGATGATAGGTCTACTATAATTCAGGGGGTAGTGGATTTTTATCCCCCTGGGCAAACGTGACGTCACAAACCAGGGGGTAAAATTCTGGCCGCAAACTTTTGAGTTTCCCGGCATCAGTTCGATGGATTAAACGCGGAATTAAACATATATTTTCACGGTTGTGAATTAAATCAGAAGACATCTAATTATAAAAACCTAGAGTGTACGGCCCGGATTTTTACCCCCAGAATTTTACCCCCGGAATTTTACCCCCGGACTTTTACCCCCAGATTTTTACCCCCGGAATTTACCCCCAGGCAGCAAAAAGAGCTCTACTGCAGCAAAAAGAGCCATTTTTAATTAATGCGTTGCGGGTCTAAAGGTCCGGTTCACAAGAGTGACATACCTAGCCGACTAAGCTGTGACTAGGTAAGCCCGACTGGGTAGCGTACCACAGGATCAAATGGAGCCATTCATACGAGTGTAGGGCGACGACTAGCTAGCTGCGTTCGAGCTTGGTGTCCCAAAACATAGTCGGCCCCCGCTTCCCAGTCACTCGTGGCAGCTACCCAGTCACCCAGTCTAACGGCGTAGCAGTACTCGTAGCCTTATGGGAGCGTTCACACGAGCGATCGGGTAGTCGCTCTGCAGCTCGCATTCGTCCCTTTGATCTTATTGTGCACCAGTGATGGATCCGAGTGGTTTTGATATTGATATTTTCATCTAGTCCGTGGACATGTCGGTCGTGTGAACCGGTGTATCCTGTGGTCCGCTACCCAGTCGGGCTTACCTAGTCACAGCCTAGTCAGCTAGGAAAGTCGCTAGTGTGAACCGGGCCTAAAAGTAGCATTTTAACTCTCTAAGGAGTAAAATTAATTTTTAGTCTCTAGGGAGTAAAAATCAGCTGTTGTAAACAGTTGTAAATTTCGATTGTGGCGATCATATCGATCAAAATTATTTGTCGATTTATTTATTAGGTAAGGTTTTAGAATATTGTTGTCGATTGCTCAACATATCGATGGTATAATGTACTGTAACACAATCGTGATAGACAAAATTATTGAATCACTTACTAAACAGCTGCTTATTTGCATTACCACAATTGAAAACAAGCTGGAAGTCGTTTTTAGAGGTTATCTTTACATAACAATTATTTCTTTTTCTGGCTTTGTTTGTTAAATCATGCTATATGACGAAAAATATAGTTCACCACATGGGCAAAAAGTGACTTATTAACCCTCGCTCATTTTCCGACCTAGGCTTTGCCTCAATCGTAAAACTTGACCTCGGGCCAAAAAGAGTCACTTTGGGCCCTAGTGATGAATTATTCTATTTAGAACCACCAATATTTATTTTATATTTTAAATTACTGATATAACTAGAAATAAATTGTAAACAAAAGACTACCTCTGCAATACTGTACACTGTACAGCAGGGGTGCCCAGAAGGGGGGCATGTTTTTTTCGTGGGATTTTGGTTTTTGTAAGAGATTTTATACCAGCAAAAATTGAAAGGAAAATTACAAAAATAAATTATAAGAATCATAAGCAACAGTAAAAAGCACTGTTTATTTATTTAACTATTTAATCAGGATTACCAACGTTATAATATTTAAGTTTGCCGTTTAGACCAACACCCGAATTTTCCTGTCAATCCATAAATGTTTCGTTCTGGCTAAGAGGACAGGTGGTAGATCTAATGGCTTGACTGGCAACCCTGGTCACATCCATTATAGTAGAGGATGAGTAGCTGCAACAGTCATCTGAAGCGTGCTTTTATTACATTGTGCCTTTTTATTTAACATGAATCACAATTTATTATACTTTTTAGATAGAGCTTATAAAATATAATAATTCAGATGTTTTTTTTTTTTAAATCAGGCTATTATTTATTTTATTAGCTTTTTTGTCAAACCCTTGGGATGTAATTTAATACTATAGGATTAAACTTACAATATAGTAATAACCCGTTCCAATGTTTAATCATGCATGATCCCAACATTATACTATATTTACTGCTAAGTTTATTAATTTCTTAATTTATTTAGGCCTAATGTAAAACATCTAATATTATTATAGATAAACCCCACCATAATGGAAACAATATTAAATCAATGTGTGTTACCAAACTTTGTAAATAAAAAATTCATGTCTTTGTCATTGTAGGTTTAAAAAATATAGGCTAACTATAACACTGTATATTCAGACTGTATGATATACAGTAGACCCCCTCTTAACCGACCCTAATGGGACCGGACCTTGGTCGGATAACTCAAAAGGTCGGTTAAAACGGGCAATCCCTAAAATCATAACATAACGAAGTGCTAATTCATTTGGAATTATACAATATTATTTTGAAGTCATACTTGCATTATTTATAAAGTAAACTTCTCTTATCTCCTTTTTCGTATTGACAGAAAAGTCACAAATAAACACAAAACACGGTTAAGTCAAATAGGTCTACTTTCAGTGGAATATATTATAATAGGCCTACTAGGCAAGAGTCAATAAAAATTCCTATTTTAATAACTTTAGTACTGTTCTATAATGTATTAATTGGTGCTTTCAAAATCCATCGTAATACAGTACAGAACCTTTTGTCAAAATTAAAGATACAAGCAACCATTTTGTTACAAGACAGGATGTTTATTTATAGCCTCTCACTGGAGGCTCGAGGCACAAAAACTATCTTGACCTTGGAGTTGTTAACCCCCCTTCCCTGCCCTCCCTACAAGTTGCGTTGTTTGTTTACTCCAGCGATAAGATAATCAGTTCTCAAAATCGTAACGCACTTTACGATGTTATAAATTTGCCGCGCAGATAACAAATCAGATCAGATGTGCTCACGCTATGAATGATGATGACAAACTGACAATAGGCTAAGCTATATTTTTTAATGAACAATACAAAATAACTTATTCTTGGTCATATCCTGTGGAGATAAGCGTATGGTTCAGTTCTCATCGCCCAGTGTGGGAGCGGAAATGCTGAGATTCCTAGAAAGCGGCGGTTAAGCCGAACTGCTATCAAAGCAAGGTCGGTTAAAACAAACTGTATTATTTTACGATCGAAGGCGGATAATCCGATTATCGGTTAATACGAGGTCGGTTAAGAGGGGGTCTACTGTACTGCAAAATGTACCTACCTCATTATTTTTTATTAGGTAATTAGTGACTATTTTATTCATACTATGCTAATGGAAGTAGACTCCAAAACCATTGACTATTGGATACAGAAGTTGTATTAATAGTCAAAGCTCCAACCAAATGACCGCAAGGTGTTTTTTGCCGGACTTCTGAGAGGAATAATTTTGGCTCCCTTTATATAAACCCACTCGTATCTATTTATACAGGGTGAGTTTTAAATGAGTTCCCCCCCTACTTTTTTCTACATTTCTTAAGATATCAACTCCGGACCACGTCAGATCATTGTAGAGTAGTAAGTACTTCATTTTGACTGGGTATACGTTTTTGGCCGCCATCTTGGATCCGCCATATTGGATACAAAGTTTTTTTTCAAATGTAAAGGTAGGGTTGTGACCCATTATTCCAAACCAGAATTTTACGCTGATTACAATGCCCCAATTAGTTAAAAAAAATCTTGATCCGTTCTAAAGTTACAAGGACTTTTTATAACTTTATTTTTAGCCCATTTTAACATTGTGCATTTACAAACTAAGACTATAATCTCAAAATAGTGCTAGATAAAGATAAGTATACACCACCATTCATTGTCAACCTATTTTCACTTGGTTATGAAGGATGTAATTTTTTCGGTCGCCATCTTGGAGCCGCCATTTTGAAATGTGATCAATTAATTTAAATATGAAGGTGGGGTTGTGACCCATAATTTTCAACTACTGTTTTATGCTGAACTCAATGCCGCAATCCGTTTTTGGTTATCAAGCTTTCTTGATGAAATATTAAAATTATTATCTTATTTAAAATTTCAATACAGTTGAACCTCTATAAGACGAATTTCAAGGGGTGCGGGAAAAATTCGTACTATAGAGGTATTCTTAACAAAGAGGGTCGTTTTATCGAGGTTTAATGCTGCTGTTATTCTTCTTATAGAGGTTTCTCCTCGCTCCAAGGTTTCTCCAAACAATGACTAAGGAAGGAGGAGGAATGTATGGGGGTTTCATGTTGAGACAAGCTTCTGTTTGTTTTGAAAACTACGTACTATGGAGGTTAAGATTATGATAAATTCGTTTTATAGAGGTCACGTTCGTCTTGTAGAGGTTTTGTCCTAAGAATATTCGTTTTATAGAGGTTAATCAGTCCTAGCCCATGTCACAAACAAATTTGTCTTATGGAGGTTTTTAACTTAATTACTACATTGTATAGAGGTGTTTTTATCATTGACCTATTTGAAAGTGTCAAGGGGATTTAAAAAAATCGTCTTATCGAGGAATTTGTTTTATCGAGGTTCGTACAAACGAGGTTCAACTGTAATTCAAAAACCAAATATGCAAATGAAAACCCGATTGCGACATTAAGTTCAGCATAAAAAAGTAGTTCAAAATAATGGGTCACAACACC